TCCTGCAATATTTCGTACCACTCTTAATCAACAATATGATTTCATTAGATTTTCCCTTTTGGTTCAAAAAAAACCTTTATTAATTACTTAATCTAATCAATACAATGACTACGTTTAGTGTTTCTTGTAGAGATGGGTTTGCTTTAAATGCCTAGGCCAAGTCAAACAAAATTGTGCAGGTACACTGAGACCGGACCTCACTATTCTCATCACTTTGGAGTTTTTATTATCTTCTCTATTTTTATTATGTGTGGGGTGCTCTATTTATACCCGAAAAACAATTCTTTACACCCCCCATTTAACCATGTACACTCAAGTTCAGAAACACTTAACCGTTATATATCATTTTTATTTTTCAGTGAATATATTTTTTAATATTTTAATAACAATTTAAATGTTTTTTTCTAAAAAAAAAATATGTTCAGTTTAAAAAAAAAATCTTCATTTTAGCATGAATAAAATCAATATAACTTACAATTTGATGGTTCTAATTGGCAGATCAAAAGTGCCAAAAGAGAATGAAGATTTGCAAAGTTGTAGGCACGTGTTATCACGTGTTAGGTACTAACCTTGATTTCTTAGCAGTTCACCTATTGTTTCTTTACTCCAAACCTATCATTGTTACTCACTAAACTCAACACAAACTTAATTCCATACCTATTGTCATCAGCTACAATAAAATCCAACCCCTTCAATTGAACAAAAGAAAGGCCATGGCTTGAAGCCCATCTAAAAGCAACTGAAATTTTGATAGAGTGAATAATATGTTTACATGGACAATAGGTTTGACTTATATTGCTCATTTTTTAACTTTGCTTATCGTTGTTTTTTTTTATTTTTATTTTTAGGTATTTCCATTATGTTTTGCAAGTTACAATTGGCTATTGTTTTTTGTTGTAGGTGGGAATATTTGATGCCACAAACAATATGAGGAAAAAAATGAATATGCTTATGAAAATGGCTGAAGGAAAATGCAAGGCGCATGCTCATTGCATGTTTGCGGCAGGATAACTAAGAATTCTTCAAAGACGAAATTGATACAAAAGTGAAGAGTATCATGTTGCTGCATAGTAGGCCAAGAAGACCAATTATTTCTTGAGCTTTCCTATGTGAAATCTTTCATCTTTAAAACTTAAGATCATATCTCATCTACATTTCACAGTAACAAGCTAAACAAATATGGTTGTTTGTGGCTAAATTAGCATAGTTGGAAATTTTATTGATATGTTGTCGATCTCATCTTAAACTCGTTAATGTCTTATGCACGCTATATGCTTTGCCATATAGATTATTTTTTTGGAGACAATATGCAATGATGAGCGCATTATTGAAAGAAACATAAGTCTCAAAATTCTACAAAGCCCTAACTATGCAGAGGAGTATGGTTGCTTACTAAAATGAGCAAATTATTATCTTAGTCTACACTTCTATACTTAGTAAATTTTGTTTCCCTTCAGGACAGATTTTGAAGCTGGATACCAAGACTTCAAAAAGCGAGTAGAAAATTATGAAAGGGTAGTTTTTTGAACTTGTGTTTTTGATACTTATTCTTTTGAAATATAGCATTGAGAAATGGAGTATATGATTACAAGATAACAAATTCTATGCATGTTATAGGTTTATGAGCTGGTAGAAGAAGGATCATACATCAAAATGATTGATATGGTCAGTGGTCAAGGTGGACAAATACAAGTAAGTTGAGCTCATTTTTTATTTTTATTTTTTATTATTGTTCTCCTTTTGATTTTGAATCTTTATTACTTGAAAGATGTCAAATGCTATCTTCTGTTTCTGTACACAATTTCAGGGGAATTGCAAAAATAAATTACAATGGACACCCTGAACATGTCAATTGTGAGAAATGGAACACCTTTTGATTTGGAAGTACCCTGATCACTTTTTATTTTTTTTGTTATAAGTAGGAGTATGATCCTCTCTCTATTTTGTGAAGATTTAGTTTGTAATTGTAGATTGTATGGTTGTTGTCAAGAACATATGCATAAAATTGATATTCCAAATAGATTATTTTTCCTTAACTTACATTCTTGAAGCAATTTTTTTTTTGATTTGTGGACCACTTGATTGGAAATATCATCAAGGTAATACTAATTACTAGTGCAAGCTAGTGTGATGGGTGAGTGACTTCTTGTAGTTTGAGTTAGTTTTTGATTGACGGTGTTAGTAGTGCAGAAATCTTTTAGCTAAGATCACTCTTTAAGTAGTGCAGAAATCTTTTAGTAGTGCAGAAATCTTTTGGCCGATGTATCAGCACTTTGATTAGCTTCTCTTGGCACATGTTGGATGGTGCACTTGGGTATATTTGGGTAGAGAAAAGTGGCCCTTTTTCCATGGATTTTTATGTAAATTGAATGAAATACTTCAGTTTCACACAATTTTGTTCTTTACTAAAACATTTTCCTAGATGTTTCTATATCTTGTTATAGCTCCAATTTTAGACGCCATCCATAGGTTTATAAAGTGAAGTTTGATCTTTCTTTATTTTTTATGGTCCCTTTTTCTTCAGGTAAACAATATCAGTGGCTATCTTCCTGGAAGAATTGTCTTCTTCTTGGTATGTTATCCTCTATTTTATTATATATTATTTACTTTGGTTGGGATAAGGCTTTTGGATTTAGTATAACTTGTTTCCTCTTGTTGATTCTTTGGTATTGCGTTTCTTTTTTTTATTTTATTTTTTTCCCAGTAGGCAAGTGTGACAAGAAAATATTAGAAGTCCTGCTAGAATAATGATTGGACAAAGTTTCCTGTTTATTTCTTGTGCTGTACCAAGCTCCTTGTGGACTGCATCACAAAGATGACATGCTGTGATGGTAATTTAGTTCAATTCCACCACATTTTGGTGGCTAGGAAGCCTTTCCTTCATATGATTTTGTCTTGCCTTTTTTACACTAGGGATGAATCTATGACTTTGAACTACATAGAAAAATTATATACTACAACTTCACCAATAAAGGAGAACAACATTACCATATTGCAGCCATTAAACCAAAAAGTTTATGCATTGTAGGCCTAGTAGATCCCCTCAAGAATTAGTGCTCTGCTTTTAGCAGAATGTACAGTAGGCTTGCTTTTTTGTTGTTCCTTTCCTCTGTACCAAATAAAAAATAAAAACCAAACATGAAAATGCCACAGCTAGCAGTTGGATTGGAGTTGGATCCATTTAGAATTGTTTTGCATTGGAATAGCATTTAGACATGCTTTTTGGAAGCAAATGCTTAGTTTTGTTCTTAGGAGAGGAACGTATACCTCAGTTACCATACTAGAGTACACAAATGCTATGTTAATGATGAATATAAATGTCTTAAATTTCTGTACAAGCTTGCTTCCAGAAATTCTTGCAGGCATTTTGTGTGATTTTGCCTATGGCCTAGATATGGACTACCACATTAATTTTGACAGCTGGTTCAATTGTTGGATTTCCAAAGATTGGTGCCAGAAAATTGTCCTATTTTCTAGTTAAGGTATTTGAGCACTATTTATGCATATCTATTAATTCCCTATGTTCTTTTGGGTAATGTTTTTTTTTTTCTCTTGAACTTTTTAGTAAGGCTCTGTGTGATTGCTAGTTTGGGAGTGGAATTAGATCCACAGAATTTTACAAAATTAAATAGAAATGTAAGCAAAAATATTATTATTAACAACACTTTCTTCATTTTTTTTTTTATTATTTATTGCGGGTAGCTAGAGGTGTAGTCATGTGTGTTTATGGACATGAGTTTGCCGGCATTAATTCTAAGTTGTTCTTATATGTGAAAATGTTGTGCTCGTCTTCAATTTATTCATATGGATTAACATCATATAAAATTTGAATTTGTTAGAACGAAACTTTGAATTTTCTTTACTTTATGACTGTTACCTACCTTTCAATTTTTTTGTTGAATTGTGTAGATTAAATTACTACTGGAACTAAGCTAAGCAATTTTTTAAATGGCAACGATTATGTTTTAAATTTTGATTTGTTTGCAGATCCCTTCCTATAGACCAGCCAAATACAAGAGATCTAGATTGTTGGGGAACTGTAGGAAGATGAATCATACCTCTAGTGGTGTATTATTATCTGGGGTCGCTATCAATTTGATAGATTTTTTTATCTTATGTTGTTGGTGTAAATCAAAAGTATAGTGTTTCTAAGGAAAAAAATCTGGTTATGAATGTTGTTGCCGGTTTGGCAAAATTGTTAAAATGTTCCAAAATGATATTGCAAAACTTGGATTCAGTCTAAGTTATCATTTTGTAATTAGACAATGCAGATGATTGAGTGAGTTCATTTAATCTAAAGCATTATGCACAATGTTCTCCAAATAATCTCTCTATTAGCTTTGGTTGGTCCACTAATTTGAAGGATGGTCCACAAGAGGAAATCATTTCCAAAGAAAAAATTTTGCAGCAACAAGAAATAGGAGAACTTTAAATATAATGACAGAACCTAAAGATACCTTACCCGCGAACGTCGTTTTGATAAAGAAAAAATAGTTAAATTTTGGTAGGAAAACTGATGTGGCAACGAATATCTTTGCCAAACTTTTATCCAAATTTAGTTTAAGATTTGGTTGATATTTTTTGGAAAAGCATTTGACTCACCATTAGAGTGATTTTGTGAATTGAAACCAATTTTTTGGCATTGGCAAGGCATTTGACAAAACTATTAGAGTTACTCTGATTCAGGTTATGCAAGTTTGGCCAGGTGGCCAATCCAAAAGTAATACCGCTACTAGATATCAAAGCCAAAAAGGCATTAAGTTCTTAACCTAAACAAAAAACAAAAAGTGAAAAAAATGAAAAGGAAAAAAGATATAGGCTAATTTACAGAAAACTAGCTAATAATAACACTTGTCAATATGAGGATTGTTTGGTGCAATTTATTATTATTTATTTTCTAGTCTATGTTTCAACTGTTTAGTGAAGTTTTACTTACAACTTATTACAGAATAATAAACCCATTAGGTTGAAAATAAATAAATTACCTTCAAAATGGACAGAAGTATTCTTAGCTTTTATTTAGTATCATTTATTCAACTTATAAAAAGATGCAAAAATCTAACCTAAACCAAACTAATCACAATTTATTATTAACTCTATTGAATTCAAATACTCCCTCAAATTGATCCCAAGCCACAAACTCACTCAACTTAACATCTAAAATTTAATATTGTTTGTTTACTACTAAGAATACAAGTTTTGAGCTCAACATTTGTGGACAATCTACTATGCCACTAATGTTTCTTGTCCACATGATGCAGTTCATATCAAGACACCACTTGCCATCCAGTCATATCAAGACACCACTTGCAACAAAGACCCATGAACTACAGCAAGAGGAAATGAAATATTAGAAATTGAATTATAGAAATCTACTAATCAAAACAAAGGAAAGGAAAGAAAATAATCAAAGTGGTTCATTCATACTAGTAGAGATCAGAGAAACAGGGGAGGAACAAAATGGTTTCTCTTTGGCTTGAATGTGTTCTCATGGTTGTAATCTAATTTTTTTCGGTGAAATTAGTCAAGTACAAAAATGGTAAGCCAAGTGTAAAACTTGTTAAAGTCTTAAAAAAATCCATTACCTGATCTAACTGATGTCAAAAATCCATATCGAACAAGACTTCCTTTTTGCTTAACTCATTCCGTTTCTAATTTTGTATTTCTACCTTGCTGAACCAAAAAAAACTCAACAATAATCTCACCGAGTTAACTATATAAACAATTTAATAAAATTGAATAGATTGGGAAAAGAAGAAGAAATTCTCTCACCCACTCCTCATTATTCTAACAAAGTATTCATAACTGCAAGGAAGCAGTTCATATGTGATATTCAAATGGACAATATGACCTGCTAGGGATGGCAATTTGAACCCGGCCCGATGGGGACCCGACCCCCCGACCCCGATTAGAACGGGTTTTTCCCGAAAATTATTCCCATAGGGCCGGGGATGGTATTAAAAATTAAATCCCCGATAATTTTTGGGCCTGGGCCGGAGACGGTGATAGGTACCTCAGCCCCAGCCCAGCCCAGCCCGACCCCGCCCGAATATCCTCTATATATATATGTTAAGGCTTTATTATATATAGGCTTTATTATATTATTATCTAATATCTATTTCTAAGTTCTCATTCTTTCTCTCTGGTTCTTCTTAACTCTCTCTCTCTCTTGTTCTTTTCCCTCTATTCTCTGTGCGAGAGATGAATGAGCACCTTCCACCAGATCTAAGCCGCGACGGAGAAGAAGCCTAGAGACAGATCGGCGACGGAGAGTTTCTTCTACCACCAAATCTAAGCCGCGACGGAAAAGAAGCCTAGAGACAGATCAGCGACGGATAGTTTCTTCTAAATCCGAGCCGCGATGAACATGTCTTCGCACCACTGGTTCTCAACTATATATATACACTGGTTCTCAACTATATCAACATCATTGATGTACAGATCTAGATCTTCACTATATATATATACACCGACCTCTCACATCATCTGATCTGAGGTAATATATATATACATATACATATATATATATATATACATTTTGTTGTTGTTGATGTTGATGATGATGATACTCTAGTTGTTGTTGTTGATGTTGATGATGATGAGCTACGGTAACTGCTATTTTGTTTTTTTTTTGGTCGGGATATATTCGGGGTCCAGGAAACCCGACCCCCGTTAGGGGGCGGGGTGGGGACGGTGATAGGTTCCCCGTAGGGGATCGGGGCCGAGGCCGGGGAAATTTTCACCATCGGGGATCGGGGACGGGGAGTGTGATCCCCGGCCCCGCCCCGCCACATTGCCATTCCTATGACATTCAACATTAGGAACCAACCAACCAATACAAGTATTTTTTTTTTCTTTCCAAACAGAAGGCATTAACATATTAACCCCAAAAAAAAAAGTTTTCAGAAAAATAAATATACCTTAGAAGCTCTAATCTATAAATTTCTGCCATCTGTCTTTTAAACACCATCTAACAAACCTTAAAATTCAAACCAAATTTCTATTTGTACAGTTAAAAAGAAACAAATGCAACACCATGTTTTGAAGCTCCAATCTATAACCACTATATTGCTTTAGCAAAAACTCATTAGCACCAAGTTTCTACACCAACTTAGCCTTAAAACCAGTCATTATATTTCACAAATTTCTTTGATGATAAATAATTTATCCTCTAGACTAAACAACATGACTCAACTAAACTGGAGAGGAGACATATCCGCATCCGTATGTCATTCACATCCTTGCCCAAGGAGCTATGATTTATTGCATGAAGCTGGCCTCTTTTCTATTGAACGACTTTGTCCATGGTTTTTCATGCATATTTCAAGTAAACCAACATTGTCAGAAATTTCATAAACAAATCAAGTAGCTCGCAATAAGAAAAATTTTAAACCATGATGGACATGAGAAAGTTGCCCATAATTTGTATAAATTAGAGAAAAAATTATATGGAGGATAGCTCTAATGCACACTACTCCTTTTAAGAGTACATAATTTCAAAGCAGATTAAAATGGCAAAACTCAAAGACAAAACTTGTTATCTAAAAACCATAAATTATTTAAATCACATTTGGTATTTTCTGCCGAGAGTGATAGGTGCCAAAGAGGAACAATTAGAAATATGCTTTATTGGACACTGTCAATAAGTCCACACTCAAATTTGTCATATAAAACTCTTGAAAGGGCCACAAACTACTTTGACCAAAACAAAATTGGCAAATAAAAAGTCAAAACAGAAAAGTCATAGTCAACAATGCTTTAAAATCTATGACCAACAATTTAATTCAAAAAAATAAGCGTTTGTCTAACCTACCGTCACTGTAGTCATTCAAGCTTTACCTGATAGAGGCAACAACAATGATCAAACTGAGAAAGAATACACACATACATATAGAGAGAGAGGGGCCAAACTTGCTAAAGAGTGATGTCCATCATAAATAAAAGTATTCCACACACACACACACACACACACATATACACAAGTAAATCAACAACAAATTGTAGAAGAGGTAATAATTTGAAAAAAAAAAAACAGAAACAAAAGCAAACCATTCAAAATTTTAGTCAACAATAAAAGAATGTATCCTATTCAAATCCACAACCCAACACACACACACACACACACACAAAATCAAAAACATTAACATTAACATTAACATACACTACTAATCAAAAACATTAAAAAAGAAAAAGAAAAAAAAAACCACAAACCACAAACCTAAACAATTACGATAACTATGGCAATGTTTATCTATTGTGACCATTCAATTACCTTGAAGTCCTGAGCAATTTCATGGACAAGCCTCTTGAATGGAAGCTCCAAGATCAGGAGCTCAATACTCTTTTGGTACCTGCAAATTTCGCTACACATCAATTAATTAAGATAACAAAGAATCTAAAAAACACAAGAATTGTTACAAATATAGTAACCATAATTCAAGCTTTAATTCACTAAGTAGAGAAGAATTTACTTGCCTAAAGAGGTGGCTTCCTAGTTGTAAGAAGGGCTACCAAAAGAATTTGTTTATTTAGAACAGCAAAAACCAGTGAACTCAACACTATCATGAAGAGCCAAAAACAAAGGCATTAAATCTGCTTCAAAAACTATGAAATATAGTGGCTAAGGATTTGCAAACCATCATTTAAAAACCAATGCTGTGAAGCCACAATCTAACTGTAACGCCCTCAAAAAAAATACATAAAACCCATCTCTTTGGACATGCATTGATACAAAGAAACCAACCATCTTTCCATTAATCTAAGTAGTTCTTACAAAGTATTACATGTTAACAACAAAAGCAAATGCCCTACGGGCTTACAGCTTTCCAAGTAAACACTTGGTTACAAAAAGAAGAGTGCTAACTCAATACATATTAAGCCCTTGGCTTGAATTTACATGTAATACATCAAAAGAAAGCAAATAACAAAGCAGTCTGTCTGCCTCTAGCCTCCCAAGCTATGTCCTTGGAGGTGACATGCTACCTGTACCTGAAAATGATGTCCCATTGTCACGACCGCAAACCGCCCCTAGTAGTTTGGTGCCATGATGGCCAGCAATCCGAGATTACCAAAGGCCAACTTTCAAAAGCTTAACACAATCAGAGTATAGTATAGGAGCTCACAGATGCGGAAGCGATAAATCAAAATACAAGTGGTCCATAAGAGCTGTGCATAGATCAAATGTAATGACAAACATGACATAGTTTCTCATTCGGTTGATAATAAACGAAATACATATCAGAATCTTGATCAAAAGGCTTCTAGCACCATGAATGTAATCAGTACATTTATGTTTTTTTCACAAATGCTCATCAAATATAACCAAACACCCTACATTCATATTTCAAGCTAAATTAGTACTTTTTTCTTTTCTTTTTTTGTATTTCATATTTTTTACAAATATATATATGTATATATATTTTAATCTTTTAACCAAACACCCTACATTAAAATTTTAACCAAACAACCTACATTTATATTTTAACCAAAAAGCTTACAAATATTTTAAGTTAAATCAGTACATTTATATTTGTTTCACAAATGCTCATCAAATATAAGAAATTTTCAACCTCTCACAACTTCACAATAATAGAATCAAGTCAGTAAAAAAAAAAACTTACCAAAAATAGGATGAGATAGAGAGCCCAAACCAAAGGAAGGAGAGCCAAAAGCAAAGATAGCATAGCAAAAAGCATAGAGAGGGAGAGAGAGCAAAGAGAAAGAAAAAGAAACTTACCAAATCGCCAAGCGGTGAGGCGATCTAAGAGGAGGGTAGGGCTAGCGGTGGCGCTGGCGGTGGCGGTGACGATCGACACCACTAGCGGCGATGGCGGCGATTGGCAACTCTAACAGCGGTAGAGGCGGAGGTGATCGGCAAGGTAAGGAGTAGCGAGTGGGAGACAGAGAGTTGAATGCGATGTTTTGGGGGTGTGAATAGTTGGGGATGTTTCGGCGATTGGCTGAAACACCATTGTCCCATATTTAAACAAAATAGTGGAGTACATCCCCTATCTCCTCCCACACAACACATGTATATAAACATAGATCATATACAATCAATCAATACATAGAATTAATGTATTGTTCCAGTTGCTATATTCAATAGCATACTCAATCGATTAGTTTTAGTTTGCCTAATCATCATGCAGTGTCTACAACAATCAAGACTATCCTCCACCGATAGCCCCAAGCAGTTATTTCTATACTGAAAATAAATGCACCAAATGGATATATAATCAACATTTCAACTAGGTGAGCGATGAACGAATCTAACCACACCCTTTAATCTCATCCACATCCAATTCCAACATTCTCAATTTAATTCCTCTTTTCTTCAAATTAATTATACCAATTGATTTATCAATGTAATTAGAGCATTTCCCATAATTATCATCACAACCCTAAGGTTCCATTTTCACCAATAATCCAATATTGATCTCATTTCTCTATGCCAAACATGCATATAAGTTTATATAAACAAAACCCCAACTTTTGTAAAATTACACAAAGGCCCAAATTTTCTCAAAATTACCCAACAACCCCCAACTCATCAAAATGCTAAAATTCAAAGACAAAACTCATGAGAAGGAGTAGGATATCCCTACCTCGAAGTTAGAGCTCAAACGGGGGAGTTGAAGAAAATCAAAAAGCTCCAAACTCAAAGATCCACAGATCAAAATAGAGCCCTCGACGATCCACACACTTTTTACAAAGGCCGGAGGATAGTGAGACACTCTAACTAGATCAAACCCTAGAGAGAATGGAGTTTCTAGAGAGAGAAGCTCTCAAAATATCTTTTTAGAAAGTAAGAGAGAGAGAGAGAATGTAAAAAGTGATTTTAAAATGCCCAGCTACCAACTGATATACGACATTCCCGCTCGAGCGAAGAACACAACGCTCGAGCGTCAAGAACAAGAAACTAGGTACGCTCAAGCGCAAGAAGGCCCGCTCGAGCGCCAAGACACAAGAATAAAGTACATCCGCTCGAACGCGAAAACTAGTCCGCTCGAGCATGGATTTTCCCCTCCCAGAACTTACACCAAAAAGTACTACCCGCTCGAGCGCCAGAGTACCCGCTCGAGCGTAAAAATCACACTTACAGAAGTTTTACAGGGACACGAGATATTGGAAGTGTGCAATCTCCGCTCAAGCGCAATAAGGCCCGCTCGAGCGGAACGACCAAAAACCTGGCAACAAGATTTTAGACCAAGGTTCAACCCACCTGTTCGAAACATGCCCAACACATCCTAAAACTCAAACAAATAGAATTAAAGGACGACAACAAGATAGATACAACTACCAACTCCACGGAACCGAGTCCGGAATACAACAGAACAGTAAAGGGACAACTGGGATCGCTATACTAACAAAAGCAAAGTTACTATTGAAGCAACACCATATATAACATTTTTTTTATTTGATATTTTGAGAGAAAAATCTAAAAAAATTGCAAAGTAACTACTAAAGCGACATTCCTAAACTTTAGTATTTTGTCGTTATTCATTACTAAAATATAGCAATAACCGTCTGTTTGCAATTGAATCATTAGAGATGCTGTTAGGTAATAGCAAGAACATTGCTTCAAGACGACAATTTAGAAGCATTCAAGCTTCATAAACGTTGGAGTTTAAAAATATCTGCCTATTTGTCAACCATAAATGTAATCAGTACATTTATATTTTTTTCACAAATGCTCATCAAATATAACCAAACACCCTACATTCATATTTTAAGCTAAATCAGTACTTTTTTCTTTTCTTTTTTTCTTTTTTGTATTTCATATTTTTTACAAATATTTTTTTTTTTATCTTTTAACCAAACACCCTACATTAAAATTTTAACCAAAAAGCTTACAAATATTTTAAGTTAAATTAGTACATTTATATTTGTTTCACAAATGCTCATCAAATATAAGAAATTTTCAACCTCTCACAACTTCACAATAATAGAATCAAGTCAGTAAAAAAAAAAAACTTACCAGAAATAAGATGAGATAGAGAGCCCAAACCAAAGGAAGGAGAGCCAAAAGCAAAGATAGCATAGCAAAAAGCATAGAGAAAGAGAGCAAAGAGAAAGAAAAAGAAACTTACCAAATCACCAAGCGGTGAGGCGATCTAAGAGGAGAGTAGGGCTAGCGGTGGCGGTGGTGGTGGCGGTGGCGGTAACGATCGACACCACTAACGGCGATGGCGGCGATTGGCAACTCTAACAACGGTAGAGGCGGAAGTGATCGGCAAGGTGAGGAGTAGCGAGTGGGAGACAGAGAGTTGAATGCGATGTTTTGGGGGTGTGAATAGTTGGAGATGTTTCGGCGATTGGCTAAAACACCATTGTCCCATAGTTAAACAAAATAAAAAGACCAAAACAAATTCACAACTCCATAGACCAAACTTTTTTTGTTGTTCTATCCCTCAAATACAATTCCTGTAAAAAAAAAAAAACAATTCAAAATGAAAGAGAGAGATTGAGAGTAGAGTGACAAGAGATCAAGAAAGGATCGAACAACTAAATGCAACAACCCAATTGTGGTTCAATACAAACCACCTTACCTGCGAACATCTCAAATAAATTAATTACTAGGCTACAATGGCTTCGACTAGATAAAATATCCCAAATAATTGACAAAAGTTCATGTATGAGATTCATATACATTTCAAATATTTAGATATAAGATTTCAAAAAATAAGCTCCTAATTTCAATATTCATCAATAGATCAATTGCATTCTCAACAATACAGAAGGACAATTTCCAAACTACATATTTCAATAGATCAATGTCCACAAAATTCAACATTTTTGCTAATAATCAATTTGAATGATTCTTCAAACATAATATTTTCCTAGCAAACATGATTAATGACAAAGGAATTTGTACTTAATAATGAACACCTATTACATCATTAATTATTTTCAAATAATATAGTCATGTTAATCGTCACTAATTGTTCAAGTAGTCCTTCATTTAGTCAGTTGAGCTAAATTTGAACTCTTCCATAGTTATCCACACGAATATTCACAAAAGGCAATGAAGTTGCCATAGCACATAAACAATAAAAAAATTCCTTTGTAAAACCATAATGATAATGACAACAATAACAAAACTTCAATAGCAGTTATAACATATCATCTAACACATCCAAGTAGTGAACCTACCAAGTCTATAGCAACTGGAGCAACATAGATTCAACCACAAAAACATTAAATAACACAAACAATCAAGGCTCAAATGGTCTTCAAAATCACATAATCTCATAAATTACACTTGGAAAAACAAAATCAAGTCTTTCTTCAAAGGAAATGGGGCTGAATGAAGATTGGTTTTTTATTTTTTTACTTAATCATACAAAAAATTTCATATCCTCTGCTTGAAAACCCTAAATTTGAAAATTTCCTCTCAACACAGACAAATTGCAGATAATACAATAAAAGTAAGGGCTTTGGGCAATTATGAACTACATACAAACCAGTTTGTAATCGAGCTTGAATACATCTAGGGTTTCGTCGTCGTAGCAGGGGTTTAGGCTTTATCCAATAGGTTGTTTAATTTGGTGGAGACAATGGCAGGAAGTGTAGGATCCCTTGAGAGAGAGTGGCACCTAGAGGGTTAAAATTAGTTGTCCAAAATAAAACAGAATAGGAGAGAAAGATGTTGGACTTACTTGGATGCGGTGATGGTCGCTAGCTGTGGCAATGGGTGGCGGCGACAACTGGAGAGAGAGGGAGAAAGAGAGAGAGAGCGTGCGAGCGTAATTTCTCAAAATGTTAGGGCTGAAGAAAAGGTCTAGGGGTTTGTCAAAAAAAAAGATAGGAGGGAATTTTGATTTGGACAAAATTTCGAGGGTTTGTTCCAAATTTTTTGACAAAATTATTTGAAGGGAAAATTATGATAAAATTGATACAAAAATTTACTAGTAACAATTACAAAAAATAAAAAATAAATCATGATTTGAGTATTAAAGGAAAGAACGTTGTAGCTTTGTTAACAACATCATTTTTCCAATGCAACGATCCCAAATGAGGATTCTGGCTGTTGCTACTCAACATTGTGAGTGTACAAGAACGTTGACAAATAAATGAGGAATTCATAATTGCATAGCGCAACTAGAACTGCCCTTTAAAAACTAGAATCGTAAACTACTTTGTCAATATAGTTTATCCAAAACCATAAGGGCATATGGTAAGTTGTCAATTTTGGGAAATCAAAAATAAAATTAAAGGAAAGATTTCAACGTTTCAGTTTCCTTCTTCCTTATTTTCACTTAACTTATTTTCTCAGCAACCAAGCATAGTACGTGCTTATAGATCTACTAATTACACGAAACAAGCAACAATTAGCTATTATTTATCTTCTTCAAGCACAAATACGTCACACATACACACACAAAAAAAAAAACCCAAATAGACTTGCAATCTCCTTTTCTTTCCCTCATTGCATATTTTCTCAGCAACACAATGTCCCAAACACAACATAACATACTTATATGACTAACCTACAAAATAGTGCTTCTATATCTTCCAATTAAGCTTATGATCAAGAAACAAAAATATTGCTTATAAATCTACTAATTAAAGCTAAGAATTAACTACAAAATAGAACTAGAGAAAGAAGACAGCAAAATAATCAACAGCAAATGAATCCAACAGAATTCATGCCCACGCTTCTTTAGAATTTTATGACTCTAGCAGGACTTAATTCGCAACAGAATTAAGGGATAGACAATCAAAATTGACACTATGCACTATTTCACCTGAAATCTAAATAGTTGTAACTTGTAATAGAAATATAGTGTGCCAGCAAAAATATAACATGGAAAATTGAAAACATTTAGAGTTTATTCACTACTTAATGTTTGTGATGGCCAAGTTTGGCTAACCTAAAAAAGTGCACTTATTTCATCTTTTTATCTTTTTTGGGTCACATCAATCAACATCTCCTCTCTATTTTTTTTACACATAATACAAAAAAGTCAAAAAGTACACTTATTTA